CGCACCACCATGGCTAGCTAATTTTTGCATTTTTTGGTAGAGACGGCGTTTCACCATGTTGGCCAGGCTGGTCTCGAACTCCTGACCTCAAGTGATCTGCCTACCTCAACCTCCCAAAGTGCTGAGATTACAGGTGTGAGCCAGCATGCCCAGTCTATTTTTCTAAAGAAAAGGTTTGCTACTGTAGCTACTGTTTTGCAGTTTACATTTTCACTTAATGGTGTATCTTGGAAATCACTCCATAGGAGCTCATGGAGATCATCTCCGTAGCTGCATAGCACTCCACTGCTGGAGGCACCGTACAACACTCAGCTACCCGACTACTTGACTGCAATTGGTAATCTAAGTCATTTTGGAATTGTTAAGAGATTTGCCTTCAGGGAAAATGTTGACAAGTAGCATTGCTGGATTGCGCCTGTAGTTTTGTTGGATGTTGCCAAATTCTTCTCTGTTCCAGGTGGATGATATGCCCCAATAATTCCTGCTTCCTGAGATTTATACCTTTGTGTGGTCCTCTCACATCAGAGTAGGGTTGGTTTGTATGACCAGCAGAGTATGACAGAAGTGATGGTGAAGTACTTCCAAAATTAGCTTTAAAATACCACGCACAGGCAGGGCACAGCGGCTCATGCCTATAACCCCAGCTCTTTGGAAGGCCAAGGCAGGCGGATCACTTGAGGTCAGGAGTACAGCCTGGCCAACATGGTGGATCACTTGAGGTCAGGAGATCAGCCTGGCCAACATGGCGAAACCCTGTCTCTACTAATAATACAAAAATTAGCCAGGCATGGTGTCACACGCCTGTAATCTGAGTTACTTATGTGGATGAGGCAGGAGAATCGCTTGAACCCAGGAGGCGGAGGTTGTAGTGAGCCAAGGTAGCGCCACTGCACTCCAGCCTGGGTAACAGAGTGAAACTCCATCTCAAAAAACATAAATAGGCTGGGCGCGGTGGCTCAAGCCTGTAATCCCAGCACTTTGGGAGGCCGAGATGGGTGGATCACGAGGTCAAGAGATCGAGACCATCCTGGCTAACACGGTGAAACCCCATCTCTACTAAAAAATACAAAAAAAAAAAACTAGCCGGGCGAGGTGGTGGCGCCTGTAGTCCCAGCTACTCGGGAGGCTGAGGCCGGAGAATGGCGTAAACCTGGGAGGTGGAGCTTGCAGTGAGCTGAGATCCGGCCACTGCACTTCATCCTGGCCAACAGAGCGAGACTCCATCTCAAAAAAAAAAAAAAAAAAAAAACCATAAATAAAAAAATAAAATAAAATACGCATATGTAATCTCAGTGGAGTTCAATTAGCGAAACCAATCTTGAAAAAGAAGGCCAGGTGTGCATGCCTGTAGTCCCAGCTACTGAGGATCCTGACGCAGGAGGATGATTGAGCCCAGGAGTTCAAGGCTGCAGTGAGCCATGACTGTGCCACTGCACTCTCTCCAGCCTAAGCAACAGAGACCTTATCTCTAAACAAAACAAAACTATCTCACACACACACACACACACACACACACACACTATTTAGCCTTTTTTTTTTTTTAAAGAAAGGAAATCCTATGTCACCTCACATGGAATCCAAACAAGCTGAACTCCTAGAAGCAGAGAGTACAATGTTAGGTGCCAGAGGATGGGGTTGGTGGAAGGAATGGGGAGATGTTGGTCAAATGGTACAAACTTTAAGTTAAAGGATGAGTAAGATCTGGGATGTAATGTACAGCGTGGAGATTTTAGTTAATAATACTATATTGTATAATGATTGGAATTTGGTAAGATAGTAAATCTTAACTATTTTCACCACACACTCAAAAGAAGGTGCCTAGGTGAGGGGATGGATGTGTAAATCTGTTTAATCATGGTCATTTCACAACACGCGCATATATCAAATCATCATGTTGCACAGCTTAAGTATGATTTTTAAAAATCTGTCAGTTATACCTCAATAGAGTCTGGGGGAGAAATGGTGCTGGAGAAAACTACATATCTATATGCAGAACAATGGAGCTGGACCCTGACCTTATACCATATGTAAAAATTAATTCAAAATGAATCAAAAACCTAAATGTAAGTGCTAATGTATAAAACTCTTAGAAGAAAACATAGAGGAAAAACTTCATGACATTGGAATTGGAAATGATTTCTTGGTTATGAAATCACCCACAGGCAACTGAAGAAAACTAGATGAATTGGACTACATCAATATTACAAATTTTGGCCGGGCGTGGTGGCTCAAGCCTGTAATCCCAGCACTTTGGGAGGCCGAGACGGGCGGATCATGAGGTCAGGAGATCGAGACCATCCTGGTTAACACGGTGAAACCCCGTCTCTACTAAAATACAAAAAAAATTAGCCGGGCATGGTGGCGGGCGCCTGTAGTCCCAGCTACTTGGGAGGCTGAGGCAGGAGAATGGCGTGAACCCGGGAGGCAGAGTTGCAATGAGCTGAGATCCGGCCACTGCACTCCAGCCTGGGTGACACAGCAAGACTCTGTCTCAAAAAAAATTTTTTACAAATTTTGTACATCAAAGGACAATCATGAGAGTGAAAAGAAAATCCACAGAATGGGAGGAAATATTTGCAAACCGTGTTGGATTAAGGATTAATATTCAGTTTACTAAGAACTCCTATAACTCAAGAATAACAACAAAACCAATTTAATTCATAAAAGGACTTGTAATAAAGACGATAACAGATGGCCAAAAAGAACATGAAAAGATGGTCTACATAACTCAATATTAGGAAAATGAAAACAAAAGCCGCAGTGAGATCACGTTACCCCAGCGGTGATGGCTCTTGGCCATCAAATAGGAGGTAAGTGTTGGTTGGATGTGGTAAAGCTGGAACCTTGTGCACCTGCTCATGGGAATGCAAAATGGTGCAGCAGCTCTGGAAAACAGAACGGTGGTTGCTCAAAACATCACACAGAATTATCATGTGACCCGGCCGTTCCACTTTTGCATATATATCCAAAAGTGCTGAGAATAAGGATCCAGGATATTTTTGCACACGATGGTCATAGCAACATTATTCACAATAGCCTGCTGGTGCTAAACTTAATACATTCAGTTACTTAAAACATACCCGTGGCCGGGCGCGGTGGCTCAAGCCTGTAATCCCAGCACTTTGGGAGGCCGAGGCGGGTGGATCACGAGGTCAGGAGATCGAGACTATCCTGGCTAACATGGTGAAACTCCGTCTCTACTAAAAAAAAAAAATACAAAAAACTAGCAGGGCATGGTGGCGGGCGCCTGTAGTCCCAGCTACTTGGGAGGCTGAGGCGGGAGAATGGCATGAACCCGGGAGGCGGAGCTTGCAGTGAGCCCAGATCATGCCACTGCACTCCAGCCTGGGAGACACAGCGAGACTCCATCTCAAAAAAAAAAAAAAAAAAAAAAATACCCGCGCGGTGGCTCACGCCTGTAATCCCAGCAGTTTGGGAGGTCAAGGCAGGAGGATCACGAGGTCAAGAGATCAAGACCATCCTGGCTAACATGGAGAAACCCGACCTGTACTAAAAATACAAAAATTAGCTGGGCTTGGTGGCATGTGCCTGTAATCCCAGCTACTCTGGGGGCTGCGGCAGGAGACTCGCTTGAACCCGGGAGGCAGAGGTTGCAGTGAGCCAAGACTGTGCCCCTGCACTACAGCCTGGACGACAAAGCAAGACTCACATCTCAAAAAAACCAAAACCAAAACCAAACCAAAACAAAAATATATCCCAAGGTCAGGTGCAGTTGCCACGGTGGCTCACGTCTGTAATCCCAGCACTCTGGGAGGCCAAGGCGGGTGGATCACCTGAGGTCAGAAGTTCGAGACCAGCCTGGCCAACATGGTGAAACCCCGTCTCTACTAAAAATTACAAGGTGGGCACCTGTAATCCCAGCTACTTGGGAGACTGAGGCAGGAGAATAGTTGGAACCTGGGAGGCAGAGGTTGCAGTGAGCCAAGATCGTGCCATTGCACTCCAGCCTGGATGACAGAGACTCTGTCTCAACATTAATAAATCAATAATACATAAAACACATCCCAAACACGCATAGTGTTGAACCATGTAGCATGTGCTTGCTTTGTATACTTCGTGAATCTGCTAGCCATAGGTAAGATAAATCCTGGGGTTACAAAGACTGCAAGTCCTTGCTGCCCTTCAGAGCTTTGTGACTCAGACACCTGTCAGGCTGCTGAGAAACGTGATCTAGTCATGTGAGCCCTCCCCGTCTGATCCCCTTCTTCTCTGGGAGTTCTCTGCGCCCTCCCACCCCGCCCATTTTCTTCTCTTTTCTTAATAATGAACCCCAATTCGAAGCCTGTGGATAATCTCACGGTGCGTGACTCCCCACCCCCAACCTGTCAAAGCTTGTGCGCCACTGCCACCTCCTGGGCACATCTTCTCTTTTTTTTTTTTTTTTTTTTTTTTTGAGATGGAGTCTCGCTCTGCCGCCCAGGCTGGAGTGCAGTGACTGGATCTCAGCTCACTGTAAGCTCCGCCTCCCAGGTTCACGCCATTCTCCTGCCTCAGCCTCCGGAGTAGCTGGGACTACAGGCGCCCGCCACCTCGCCCGGCTAGTTTTTTTCGTATTTTTCAGTAGAGACGGGGTTTCACCGTGTTAGCCAGGATGGTCTCGATCTCCTGACCTCGCGATCCGCCCGTCTCGGCCTCCCAAAGTGCTGGGATTACAGGCTTGAGCCACCGCGCCCGGCCCACATCTTGTTTCTTAATCAGCCAGGAAATCACATGAACTCCTCACATGTGGTTTTGTTTTTCACATTTAGATTCCTGATCCGTTTGGAGTTTATCCCTGTGAGGTCCAGAATGAATTTCATCATTTCTCAGACGGCTAACCATTTGTCTTAGCACCTTTCATTATAAACCGCATATTTGTTCCACTGCTCTGAAATTATGTTTATGCACCGAATTTCCATGTTACTGGGTTGATGTCTGGATATTCCATTTGTGTTTCCTGTTCATGTGTCAGTAGCACACAGTTTTAATGACAGAGGCTGTTTTCATATCTGTCGGGCATTGTGCTTTGTCCACGTCATCTTCGTTATGAGACATTTGTTCCTCCATGTCAACTCCAGGATCAATATACCTGGCTCCAAAAAAAAAAACCTTTTCGTATTGTTACTGGAATCATGTGACATTTCTGAATGAACCTTGGGAGAACTCCTGGTATCAGTCTATTTTGCAACGTAGTATAGGTGCTCCTGGCCCCTACGGTACATGAGAAAAACAACAGAAACGCATATTTGAAGGGAAAAATATGAACATATACAGAAAAAAAAATACTGCATTGAAAATGCAATGGAATCAACTGTTAAGAGTTCGGCGTGATGTTCAGACGGATAGAAAGGAACGGGGCCGGTGACTCCCTGCAGAGATCGAGAGGAGACCGCGCACTCTCGGCACCCGAGGGCTTCTCGCTGTGGCCGAATCCCGGCCGCGCTCGCGACGAGCACTTCCTGGCTGTACCCGCCCAACCTCGCCCTCCTGGTCTGTTCCGGCCCCGCAGTCGCGTCCAGAGACCTGATCCTTACGTCCGCCTGGTCCTCCGGGACTATCTCTGCCTCCAGCCCGGTTCCCGAGGGCGCCACGGGGCCCTCCCACACGCTCGCGGAAGACACTACAACCTCTCCGCGCCATAGACCAACGGTTCGGCCCGGGCGCTGAAGGCGGAAGTGACGCCTGAGACGCGCCGACACCTCTTCCGGCGCCGGCCCCGCCCCCTCCTGTGCGACGGTCCCGCCGCCTCCTGTGCGACGGCTGCGCCAGTTCTTGGGGCAGACCGTCCCGGCGCCGCAGAGTTCCGCACGTGTCCCGGGGCCGTCCGCGGGGGACCTGGCCCGGGAGTGGTCGCCCGCCCGCCCCGCGCCCCCGGCACCGCTTCTAGAAGGGAAAGTCGCCGCCGCTCGCGGTGGACCCGGGCCGCGCCTCCTGTCCGCGGAGCTGGTGAGAGAGGGGCCTTCTGCTTCCTTCACTTTGATGAGGGCGTGTGTCTGTGAGAATCTGGCTTCGACTTTGACGTTTTTTTGTGTTTCTGACACTTTGTGTTGGGACCGAAGCGTAAGGTAGACCCCTGAGCGCCCGGGGCGTGCCGCTCCCGGTGAAGGTTACCCTGTGGGGACCAGCGGGACTTCCAGGCCCGGCCCCCGGGGAGGAGGGATGCGGCCGTCATCCCGCCCGGCCTGGAGTAATCGAATCCGCGGTGAACAGCGTGTTTGACTATTTTTTCTCACGTTTTGCTTTAAAAAAATCTGAATCTAATAAAAATGTGAACATCTACTACAAGGAATATCCACTGCAGTCGTTTTCCTCCTTTTTAGTACTAGGCCATGTTTTCTCTCTCCCCCAATAAATAAACTATTATATGAGTATAACTAAGTTGAAAATAAACTGCACACGTGATACTTAACTTTTAAATACTTGGTAAAGCGTCTCAAAGATAAGGACATTGTCCTACTGAAACCACAATACTAGTATTTCACCTAAGAAAGTTAAAAATAGGCCGGGCGCAATGGCTCACGCCTGTAATCTCAGCACTTTGGGAGGCCGAGGGGGGGCAGATCACGAGGTCAGGAGATCGAGACCATCCTGGCTAACACGGTGAAACCCCCTCTCTACTAAAATACAAAAAATTAGCCGGGCGTGGTGGCGGCGCCTGTGGTCCCAGCTACACGGGAGGCTGAGGCAGGAGAATGGCGGGAACCCGGGAGGCGGAGCTTGCAGTGAGCCGAGATCATGCCACTCACTCCAGCCTGGGCGGCAAGAGCGAGACTCCGTCTCAAAAAAAAATAATTAAAAATAATAAGGTCCGCTGGGCGCAATGGCTCAGGCTTGTAATCCCAGCACTCTGGGAGGCCGAGGCGGGTGGATCATCTGTGGTCGGGAGTTCAAGACCAGGCTAACATGGAGAAACCCCGTCTCTACTAAAAGTACAAAATTAGCCCGGCGTGGTGGTGCATGCCTGTAATCCCAGCTAGTCTGGAGGCTGAGACAGGAGAATCGCTTGAACCGGGGTGGCAGAGGTTGCGATGAGCTGAGATCGTGCCATTGCACTCCAGCCTGGGCAACAAGAGCGAAACTCCGTCTCAAGAAATAAAATAATAATAGTAACAATAAGGCCATCCACTGTCTACTTTGTGTGACATCTAGAATTGTCAGCCTTGTTCCAGCACTGCACTGTTGGGTATTTTGGGGACTAAGAGCCATTCAAGGTTTTTTTTTGTTTTTGTTTGTTTTTTTTTTTTTTTGAGATGGAATCTCGCTCTGTCGCCCAGGCTGGAGTGCAGTGACCGGATCTCTGCTCACTGCAAGCTCCGCCTCCCGGGTTTACGCCATTCTCCTGCCTCAACTTCCCTGGTAGCTGGGGCTACAGGCGTCCGCCACCTTACCCAGATAGTTTTTTGTATTTTTTAGTAGTGACAGGATTTCACCGTGTTAGCCAGGATGGCCTCGATCTCCTGACCTCGTGATCCGCCCGTCTCAGCCTCCCAAAGTGCTGGGATTACAGGCTTGAGCCACCGCACCCGGCCGCCATTCAAGGTTTATACGTTCCCATCGTTTATGTCTTTTCACCTAGAACAACCCCTATCGTTTCTCTAGTACTTTATGCCTTTGGGTCCACGAGGTCTCAGATGGCCGAGTTCAGCCTTAGTCACCTCATGTCCCACGTTAGCTGTTCCTTCTCTGTGCTGATTCCAAGCCCCAGCCTGTTTCTCAAAAGGTCAAGGGTCAGCTGCATAGATGACTGTTGAGAGGGTGTAGATTTACTCTAAAATCCCAGAGGGCTCTGAGTCTTATCAGTGCTTGCCGGAGGCATCCAGCGGCATCCTGTGTACCGTGGACACCGTGTCATTGGGTCTGCTGGGTCATTTCCGCCAAGTGCCTCAGAAGCTTGTCCTGCACCCTGAATGTGCAAGGATCCACGCTTGGCACTGGCAGCCTTATAGACCAGGTCTACTTTAATGCTCTACTTTAATGTGTAGAGCATTAAAGCTGTTACTTATGTTGTTCCTAAAATTAAAAGATCTGCAGAGTGTTGGGCCTCTTTTTTGGTTATAGGTGTTATGAGGTGCGGTAACTTGGAGGTGCATATTGGAGGGGATGTCTTTATGTAATCCAGGCTACTGAACTGACAGAAACTATGGCCCCTGAATCACAAGCCCTCTATAGTGTATATTTTGTATGAAGGTATCTAAAACGTGTTTATTTCCTGTTCACTGTGTCCAACCACCCTAATGTCAGCATGGTGTATGAGTGCAGTCTGAGGGTCGGGTCCTCTGGGGATGATGTTAAGGCAGAGAACTGAATATTACATCCCTTTTTGAAGCAGGGAAAAGAACCTGTGCAGGTGACACCGAACTCAACACATTTGTGGGTCTTTTAGCCCAAAGACCCTGCACACCCCCTCTACCCCCCAGTTTCAGACACCTAGTGGTAAGTACAGTTTATACAAGGAGAATGGACATGTTTTCTGACATGTGAAACTTTACTGTTTTGGTCACCTCATCAGTAGAGTAAGAAAGTACAGCTCTAGATCTACCTTTGTCCTGCTGGGGAGTGACCACAGACTCAGGAGTACAGACTGATGAGACCAGGGTGGGGCGCGGTGGCTCACACCTGTAATCCCAGCACTTTGGGAGGCCGAGGTGGGCGGATCACGAGGTCAGGAGATCAAGACCATCCTGGCTGACATGGTGAAACCCCACCTCTACTAAAAATACAAAAACTTACCCAGGCGTGGTGGCACATGCCTGTAGTCCTAGCTACTTGGGAGGCTGAGGCAGGAGAACTGCTTGAACCCGGGAGGTGGAGGTTGCAGTGAGCCGAGATCGCACCATTGCACTCCAGCTTGAGTGACAGCGAGACTCTGTCTCAAAAAAAAAAAAACAAAAAAACTGACAAGGTGGTTGAACCTGTACCTGCTAACTGTCGTGGTTCACCACTTCCTGAGTGGATGATGTGGGACCAGTTCGTTATCTGAATCCAGGCTGTTTTAGGTATAAACACAGGTGAAATCTGTGAATGGCTGTTCTGATAATTAAATAAGGCTTCTGCTGTCTTCTGACCCATATACTGCTCTTCAGTAGGTGACGTGGATATTACTAATCCTCAACAGAGTATACTGGGTATAGTGGCTTTCACATGTGTCATCTGCAGAAACAAGCTAATGCATGAGGTTTGATAACTGGGAAGTAATGCTTCTTCGTTGTGGTTGCTAGGAAATAGGGATCCAGCCATCCCTGGGTCAGGAGGGATAGAGACTGCACCATCCACACAGATTCACAGGCCGTCCTGTAGTGGCCTTGGCTTCAGGAAAGGAGCATTCAGACGCTTCCATCAGCCTCCCAGGATGGCAGCCCCTGACCTAGCCCACGGTAAGTCCTGGTGGGGCTCCTCCTCACAGCCTCTGCTGTAGGTGCTGATACACAGTGTGAGTCCCATGGACGGGGCCTGAGTAGTCCCGCTCCGGGTTCCTATTGGAGCTGCTGGAGTGAGCCAGAGAACGCTGGCCTGTAAGTCAGCCCCAGTGTGTGTGCTTTGGGGAGGGATGATTCGTAAACCCCATGAGTTTTCTCACCAAGGGCAAATGAAGAGTCACGTTTCTCAGGGCTTACAGTTCTGTATCTGCAATAGGAGCCTGTTACCATTTCCTGGTGGGCAGCATAGCTCACAAACCTTTTGTGTCGCCAGGTGAGACAGACTACCCTGGCACTGTATGGCTGTGTATGTGTGTGTTTTCCTGAGGCATTGTATGGCTCTGTGTGTGTGTGTGTATGTGTGTGTGTGTTTTCCTGAGGCACTGTATATCTGTGTGTGTGTGTGTTTTCCTGAGTGTACAGGAGTATGTGGGAATTCCCTGGCACTGTATGGCTGTGTGTGTGTGTGTGTGTGTGTGTGTGTGTGTGTGTTTTCCCGAATGTGCAGCAGTACACGGGAATTTCCCGCTAGGATGGAATGACTTCCAGGTCCGTGAGCGTGGCATTAGGGTCAGCTCTGGGTTCTCATGCTTTCTTGCCTTCTTTGTTTTTTAGGAAGTCATGTTTCTAGGGACTCAGTCTGCCTTCGTGGAGAACAGACACAGGCAGCAGGGATGGTGGCTGGCTGGCTGATAAATTGTTATCAGGTATGCCAAAACTGTATTTTTCTAAAATTGACATATTGGTATTCAGCAGACAGATAGGTTTCTGTCTGAGCAGATTTATCTCCACAGCCTCACCCTAGGACCGAGTCCCTAGTTGAGCCCCGGGGAGGAGAGCCTGGCCGGTCAGGTGTGACTGAAAATCCTCCCGTAATTCAGTGTTACTTTTTTCTTTTTCTTTTTCTTTTTTTTTTTTTGAGATGGAGTCTCGTTTGTTGCCCAGGTATCTCGGCTCACTGCAATCTCCGCCTCCCAGGTTCAAGCAATTCTCCTACCTCAGCCTCCCAAGTAGCTGGGATTACAAGTGCCTGCCACCACGCCCGGCTAATTTTTGTATTTTTAGTAGAGATGGAGTTTTGCCATGTTGGCCAGGCTGGTCTTGAACTCCTGATCTCAGGTGGTCCACCTGCCTTGGCCTCCCAAAGTGCTGGGATTACAGGCTTGTGCCACTGTGCCTAGCCTCAGCATTACTCATTATTTTGACCCTTGTGCCAAATGCATGCTTCTTTTTTTGCTGAGTGCTCTGACACATGGTAAGGAAGGGGAAAGTGTCCTTTCTGGGAACTTATTTCCACATCACGAGTTATCACTTGTTTGTAATGTGCTCAGGAGAGGGACATAAGGCGAGAGGAGCGTGAGTGGGTGAGAGAAGTTCACATATGGGAGGTGCCGTTCCGGCCGTATGACTAGAGGAGATCAACAGTGTGTGTGTGTGGTCAGAGAAGGGTTCCCAGGACCGCTGGGCCATGGGGTAGACAGTAGGAGACCTCACAGTCCCATGTAGGCATAGGGCCCGTTTCCTCATTCTCCAGTGAACACTGATGGACACGTTGAGTGGCTTCAACCACCATGTGTGATGATTTAGGACTCAGTGACCTTTGACGACGTGGCTGTGGACTTCACCCAGGAGGAATGGACTTTACTGGACCCGTCTCAGAGAGACCTCTACAGAGATGTGATGCGGGAAAACTACGAGAACCTGGCCTCAGTAGGTGAGGCTGCCACCGTTCTTTGCAACTTCTGTGGAGCTGATACATGATACGTCCTTACTGTGTTCCAGGATTGTTGACAGCAAAGCCGAGTACCGTGGGAAGTAACAGATATAATGGGCTTGATGCTAGCGTGGTCGTTTCCAGAATGTGGTCCTGGGGTCAGTAGCATCACCATCACTCATCTAGAAACGTGCATTCTCAGGCCGCACCTGTGACACGTTGGATCAGAATGTCTGCTGGGGGGGGCCTGTCATCTCTGCTTTAACAAGCCCTCCCCGTGAAGCCGACTCACTCTTAACGCTGAGAACCACTGAGTAGTAGTTTCCCAAGCGAATGAAGATCTCTTTTTGCACTTCTGATATTTCCTGTTTGAATAGAAGTCTTAGTGGTTTTTACATGTATATTTAAGCCTGAATGTGGGCTTCAGGGATCAGAGATAAACCAGTTTCTTTGGGGCACAGAAAGATGGAGTGTACTTGCACTTTGAGCTCCTTCGAAACCATTTCACTGCACTCTTTAGAAATGTAGTTCCTGGCATGCCACTGCACTCCAGCCTGGGTGACAGAGCGAGACTCCATCTCAAAAACATAAAATAAAATAATGTAGTTCCTGGCCGGGCGCGGTGGCTCAAGCCTGTAATCCCAGCACTTTGGGAGGCCGAGACCGGCGGATCACGAGGTCAGGAGATAGAGACCATCCTGGCTAACCCAGTGAGACCCCGTCTCTACTAAAAAATACAAAAAAAAAACTAGCCGGGTGAGGCGGCGGGCGCCTGTAGTCCCAGCTACTCGGGAGGCTGAGGCAGGAGAATGGCGTGAACCCGGGAGGCGGAGCTTGCAGTGAGCTGAGATCCGGCCACTGCACTCCAGCCTGGGCGACAGACCGAGACTCCGTCTCAAAAAAAAAAAAAAAAAAGAAATGTAGTTCCTGGCACGCCATTGCACTCCTGCCTGGGTGACAGAGCGAGACTCCATCTCAAAAACATAAAATAAAATAATGTAGTTCCTGGCCGGGTTCAATGGCTCATGCCTGTAATCCCAGCACTTTGGGGGCCAGGTGTGGTGGCTCACGCGTGTAATCCCAGTACTTTGGGAGGCTGGACACGGTGACTCAAACGCCTGTAATCCCAGCACTTTGGGAGGCTGGACACGGTGACTCAAACACCTGTAATCCCAGCACTTTGGGAGGCCGGACGCGGTGGCTCAGGGCTGTGATCCCAGCACTCTGGGAGGCCGGGTGCAGTGGCTCATGCCTGTAATCCCAGCACTCTGGGAGGCCGGGCGTGGTGCCTCAGGGCTGTGATTCCAGCACTCTGGGAGGCCGGGTGCAGTGGCTCATGCCTGTAATCCCAGCACTCTGGGAGGCTGGGCGTGGTGCCTCAGGGCTATCATTCCAGCACTCTGGGAGACTGGTCACGGTGGCTCAGGGCTGTGATCCCAGCACTCTGGCAGGCCGGGGCGGGAGGATCACGAGGTCAGGAGATTGAGACCATCCTGACTAACACGGTGAATCCCCATCTTCTTTACTAAAAATACAAAAAATTAGCCGGGCGTGGTGGTGGCCGCCTGTAGTCCCAGCTACTCGGGAGACTGAGGCAGGAGAATCGCTTGAACCCAGGAGGCGGAGCTTTCTGTGAGCTGAGATTGTGCCACTGCACTCCAGCCTGGGGGACAGAGCGAGACTCCATCTCAAAAAAAAAAAAACCGAAAACCAAAAAACAGGGAAATGTAGTTCCTGTTTCATGGGTAGGTTTGTCATCCCCTGCCCGAGCCTCTTCCATTGATGTCTCCTTCCCTGTGTACAGGACGTGACCTGTTCAAACCCAGCGTGATCTGTTGGCTGGAAGAGGAAGAGGAGTTGAGGGCAGAGCAGAGAGGAGTTCTCCAAGGTGAGCGAGTGTGAAGAGCACCCCTGGTCGATGTCAAGTTTAGCAGCTGCGGGAGGATCCTGAGTGTCGAGTTTGGTGGCTGTGGGAGGATCGTGAGTGTACATTTTAAGATGCATTCTGGCACAGAACATGAGGCCAGTGGACTCAAAGTTCTGGGGAGAGAGAGCAAGACTCTCTCTCTGTCTCGCAAAAAAAAAAAAAAAAAAAAAAAAGAAAACCCTGCTCTTTTGTTCTTTGAGGTTGTGGTTTTTTTGGTTTGTTTTGTTTTGTTTGAGATGGAGTCTTGCTCTGTTGCCCAGGCTGGAGTGTAGTGGCACAATTTCGGCTCACTGCAAACTCCGCCTCCTGGGTTCATGCAATTCTTCTGCCTCACCTTCCGAGTAGCTGGGATTACAGGCGTGTGCCACCACACCCGGCTAATTTTTTTGCTTGTTTGTTTTGTATTTTGTTGTTTTTTTTTTTTTTTGAGACGGAGTCCAGGCTGGAGTGCAGTGGCCAGATCTCAGCTCACTGCAAGCTCTGCCTCCCAGGTTCATGCCATTCTCCTGCCTCAGCCTCCCGAGTAGCTGGGACTACAGGCACCCGCCACCTCGCCTGGCTAGTGTTTTGTTTTTTTTTTTTTTTTTTTTTTTTTTGAGACGGAGTCTCGGTCTGTCGCCCAGGCTGGAGTGCAGTGGCCGGATCTCAGCTCACTGCAAGCTCCGCCTCCCGGGTTCACGCCATTCTCCTGCCTCAGCCTCCCGAGTAGCTGGGACTACAGGCACCCGCCATCTCGCCCGGCTAGTTTTTTGTATTTTTTTATTTTTTATTTTTTTTAATTTTTATTTATTTATTTTTTTTTTTGAGACTGAGTCTGGCTCTGTCGCCCAGGTTGGAGTGCAGTGGCCGGATCTCAGCTCACTGCAAGCTCCGCCTCCCGGGTTTATGCCATTCTCCTGCCTCAGCCTCCGGAGTAGCTGGGACCACAGGCGCCCGCCACCTCGCCCGGCTAGTTTTTTGTATTTTTTAGTAGAGACGGGGTTTCACCGTGTTAGCCAGGATGGTCTCGATCTCCTGACCTTGTGATCCGCCCGTCTCAGCCTCCCAAAGTGCTGGGATTACAGGCTTGAGCCACCGTGCCCGGCTTTTTTTTTGTATTTTTTTAGTAGAGACGGGGTTTCACTGTGTTAGCCAGGATGGTCTCCATCTCCTGGCCTCGTGATCCGCCCGTCTCGGCCTCCCAAAGTGCTGGGATTACAGGCTTGAGCCACCGCGCCCGGCCGTGTTTTGTATTTTTTAGTAGAGACGGGCTTTCACCATGTTAGCCAGGATGGTCTCAATCTCCTGACCTCATGATCTGCCTGTCTCGGCCTCCCAAAGTGCTGGGATTACAGGCTTGAGCCACTGCGCCCAGCCTGATTTTTGTATTTTTGGTAGTGACAAGGTTTCGCCATGTTGGTCAGGCTGGTCTCGAACTCCTGACCTCGTGATCCACCCACCTTGGCCTCCCAAAGTGTTGGGATTACAGGCGTGAGCCACCACGCCCAGCCGAGTTTGTTTTTTTAATGTATGCTCTTTGTCCAGATCTTTCCTGCTTTCTTTCATTGATAATACTGTTTCTGTTCACCATCACATTTGTTTTTTACGGACCAAATTTACTTTTAAATCTTCTAAATTATGACTCCCAGTTCTTGTGATTCCAAATTTTACACATAGCCAAACTCCTCCAATCTATCTTTGCTTTATTTTTTTTGCCATGTCTTTTTTTTTTTTTTTTTTTTTTTTTTTTTTTGAGATGGAGTCTCATGCTGTTGCCCAGGCGGGAGTGCAGTGGCGCGATCTCGGCTCACTGCAAGCTCCGCCTCCCGGGTTCCCGCCATTCTCCTGCCTCAGCCTCCTGAGTAGCTGGGACTACAGGCGCCCGCCACCGCGCCCGGCTAATTTTTTGTATTTTTAGTAGAGACGGGGTTTCACTGTGGTCTCGATCTCCTGACCTTGTGATCCGCCCGCCTCGGCCTCCCAAAGTGCTGGGATTACAGGCTTGAGCCACCGCGCCCGGCCTACCATGTCTTATATGAAAACGAATAACAATGAGTTTGATCATTTTCAGGTCTTTGTTTTTTTTCTTTTCAGAATGGCGACTTAAAACCAAAGGGCCAGCACTTCGGCAGGATAGATCTTGGTTCAGAACATCAAATGAGACACAAACGGTAAAATTAACAAGAGAGATTTTTTTTATTTATCACACTCATAAAACATTGGGAATTCCACTATAGAAAATGAGCAAAATTGAGAGAATGTAGAGAAGCAGGATTCACTCAGGTGGGGACTGTCTGTAGAGAACACTCTGAATGTGTGGAATTTGGGAGGGCCTCATCCTGTCTTGAAACTTGGTGCTTCAGACACATGTCAGCACACGTGACAAGGCATTGAGATTGCAGAGCTGTTTCGTGAGCACACACTTTTCAAAGTTAGAGCAGATGGCACAGGATTCCTTTTTTTTTTTGAGATGAAGTCTCACTCTGTCGCCAGGCTGGAGTGCAACGGCATGATCTCGGCTCACTGCAAGCTCCACCTCCCCGGTTCAAGCGATTCTTCTGACTCAGCCTCCCGAGTAGCTGGAACGGAACTAGAGGCGTGTGCCACCACGCCCAGCTAATTTTTGTATTTTTAGTAGAGATGGGGTTTGACCATTTTGGCCAGGATGGTCTCGATCTCTTGACCTCGTGATCCTCCCACCTCAACCTCCCAAAGTGCTGGGATTACAGGCATGAGCCACTGCTCCCGGCCGATTCTTATTTTTCATTTTTTATTTTTTGAGACGGAGTCTTGCTCTGTCACCCAGGCTGGAGTGCAGTGGCCGGATCTCAGCTCACTGCAAGCTCCGCCTCCCGGGTTTACGCCGTTCTCCTGCCTCAGCCTCCCGAGTAGCTGGGACTACAGGCGCCCGCCACCTCGCCCAGCTAGTTTTTTTGTATTTTTTAGTAGAGACGGGGTTTCACCATGTTAGCCGGGATCGTCTCTCGATTTCCTGGCCTCGTGATCCGCCCGTCTCGGCCTCCCAAAGTGCTGGGATTACAGGCTTGAGCCACCGCGCCCGGCCGATTCTTTCTTTTTTGAGATGGAGTTTTGCTCTTGTTGCCCAGGCTGGAGTGCTGTGGCGCGATCTCAGCTTGCTGCAACCTCTGCCTCCCTGGTTCAAGCCTTTCTCCTGCCTAAGCCTCCTGAGTAGCTGGGATTACAGGCATGTGCCACCACGCCCGGTTAATTTTGTATTTTTAATAGAGACAGGGTTTCTCCACGTTGGTCAGGCTGGTCTTGAACTCCTGACCTCAGGTGATCCACCCGCCTCAGCCTCCCAAAGTGCTGGGATTACAGACGTGAGCTACCGCGCCCGTCCTGATGGCACAGGATTCTTGCAGGTGCGCTCCTCATTTGACTTGAAAGACATCTACAGGGCAGGAGCTGCATGCGTGTTATGAAAATGGCAAAAATCGTAATTGTCATCGTCATACTCTGTCTTCAGCTGGGTGAGATCTATGAATAAGCCTCAGCAATCCCCTGACTGCCACTCATTCTCCACCAGCAGGCAAGAAGCCACAATGGAGGGCAGCTCTGTGACCGCACGCAGTGTGGAGAAGCTTTCAGTGAACACTCAGGCCTCAGCACACACGTGAGAACTCAAAATACAGGAGACAGTTGTGTGTCTAATCATTATGAAAAAGACTTTTTTATTCCATGCCAGAAAACTTGGTTCAAAATTGGAGAGCAGTGTTCTGTGTTGGATCAGTGTGGAAAAGCCTTTAGCCCTACTCCAAATGTTGTTTACCAACAAACATGCACGCGGGACAAACCTCTTGACTGCAGTGACTGTGGGGAAGCAGTCCTTAATCAGTCATACCTTCAGGCACGTGTGGGAACTCACAGTGGAGAAGGAACATGGAACTGGAAGCAGTGTGGGAAGGCTCTCACTCACTCCACAGGCTGTGCCACGCCTGTTGAAATGCATGCTGTCAGGAACCCCCACGTATGTAGGGAATGTGGGAAGGCCTTTAGACACACTGCTTACCTTACTAGTCACATGCGAGTCCACACTGGGGAGAAGCCCTGTGAGTTGGAAGAATGTGGAAAAGCCTCCCCTGTTGCTTCCGGCCTAACTGCACTTGTAAGAACTGATGCTGCAGAGAAGCCCTGTGAATGTAACGAATGTGGAAAAACCTTCACTGGATGCTCAGGTCTTTCTAAACACGTCCAAACATGCCCTGGAAAGCAGCTCTCTGAATGGAGGGACTGTGGGAAAGCCTGCAGTGGGTTTTATCTACTGAATGAACATGTGAAAACTCGCATGAGGGAGAAGCCCTTTGCATGTATGGTTTGCGGAAAATATTTTAGAAATTCCTCCTGCCTTAATAATCATGTTCGAATTCACACTGGAATAAAACCCTATACATGTAGCTACTGTGGGAAGGCCTTCACCGTGCGCTGTGGCCTTACTAGACACGTACGAACACACACGGGCGAGAAGCCATACACGTGTAAGGACTGTGGGAAAGCCTTCTGTACGTCCTCAGGCCTTACCGAGCACGTAAGGACTCACACTGGAGAGAAACCCTATGAATGTAAAGATTGTGGGAAATCCTTCACTGTTTCTTCAAGCCTGACTGAACATGCGAGAATCCATACTGGAGAGAAACCCTACGAATGTAAGCAATGTGGCAAAGCCTTCACAGGGCGCTCAGGGCTCACTAAACACACGCGGACACACACCGGGGAGAAGCCCTATGAATGTAAGGACTGCGGGAAAGCCTACAATAGGGTTTATCTACTAAATGAACATGTGAAAACTCACACAGAGGAGAAGCCTTTTATATGTATGATATGCGGGAAATCCTTCAGAAATTCCTCATGCCTGAATAAGCACATTCAGATTCACACTGGAATAAAACCTTATGAATGTAAGGACTGTGGGAAAACGTTCACTGTTTCTTCGAGCCTAACTGAGCACATACGAACTCACACTGGAGAGAAGCCTTATGAATGTAGAGTATGCGGAAAGGCCTTCACCACGTCCTCACACCTTGTTGTGCACATAAGAACCCACACTGGAGAGAAACCCTACATATGTAAGGAGTGTGGGAAAGCCTTTGCTTCCTCCTCACACCTTATTGAACACAGACGGACTCACACAGGAGAGAAGCCTTATGTATGTAACGAGTGTGGAAAAGCCTTTCGTGCCTCCTCTCACCTGCGTAAACATGGAAGAATCCACACTGGGCAGAAACCCTATAAATGCAAGGAATGCGGGAAAGCGTACAGTAGGTTTTATCTACTAAAAGAACATTTAAAAACTTACACTGAAGAGCAGCTTTTTGTATGTAAGAACTGTGGAAAATCTTTTAAAAATTCCTCATGCCTTAACCATCACGCTCAAATTCACACTGATGAGAAACCTTACTAATGTGAGGAATGCGGGGAAGCCGTCAGCTACACTAATTCACGTGGAAGACATGAAAGACCTCTCGCTCTCCAGATGCCCATCACTTGAGGAGTGTGGCCATCAGCATCGCATCACAACCCGGCAGGCAGGAACTCAGCCTGGAGCCCTATAGCAGCAGACGCAGAGAAAGCCCTCAATGTGCTCTCGGGTCTTGCTAAATACGGAAGGTATCCAGTGGAGAGAACCTTATTGACATGTGATACGTAGCAGCGTTGTTGCTGTTCTGCTCGGTACTTTGATGATCCCTCATGATCTCACAGTGAAGAAAAACCTTAGGAGGGTGAGAATTGTTGGGAAGTCGTTCTTTACATGACATCATTCCTCAATCTTTAGTAAACGAGGGATTGACACTTGAAGTGTTATGAATGTACAGAAGATAGGAATCACTTCCCCGTGTCCTAAAACCTTGTGGGCTAACAGAGACACGTCTTTCTGGGGGTTCTGTAGACGTATTTTGAACCTGTATGATGCTGCACTGATCATTCTTGGAGTGAGGACTGTTCCCTGTAGAAATCCTCCAGTCTGATTGCTATATTGTCCGAGTCGCAGCCTGGCTAAGAGTGGGCCTGGAGGACTCAGATGTGATCCTGTGTGAGCAGCATAGGCTCTGGTTGGTTAGTCTTGAGGACTCAGATGTGATCCTGTGTGAGCAGCGTAGGCTGTGGTTGGTTAGTCTTGAGGACTCAGATGTGATCCTGAGTGAGCAGCATAGGCTCTGGTTGGTTAGTCTTGAGGACTCAGATGTGATCCTGTGTGAGCAGCGTAGGCTGTGGTTGGTTAGTCTTGAGGACTCAGATGTGATCCTGAGTGAGAAGCATAGGCTCTGGTTGGTTAGTCTTGACTCAGATGTGATCCTGTGTGAGCAGCGTAGGCTGTGGTTGGTTAGTCTTAAGGATCCAGATGTTATCCTGTGTGAGCAGCGTAGGCTGTGGTTGGTTAGTCTTAAGGATCCAGATGTTATCCTGTGTGAGCAGCGTAGGCTCTGGTTGGTTAGTCTTGACTCAGATGTGATCCTGTGTGAGCAGTGTAGGCTGTGGTTGGTTAGTCTTAAGGATCCAGATGTGATCCTGTGTGAGCAGTGTAGGCTCTGGTTGGTCTTAAGATCCAGATGTGATCCTGTGTGAGCAGTGTAGGCTGTGGTTGGTTAGTCTTAAGGATCCAGATGTGATCCTGTGTGAGCAGCATAGGCTGTGGTTGGTTAGTCTTGAGGACTCAGATGTGATCCTGTGTGAGCAGCGTAGGCTGTGGTTGGTTAGTCTTGAGGACTCAGATGTGATCCTGTGTGAGCAGTGTAGGCTCTGGTTGGTTAGTCTTAAGATCCAGATGTGATCCTGTGTGAGCAGCGTAGGCTGTGGTTGGTTAGTCTTGCTCTTAGGCATGACCCACCTGTAGGATCCCACACTGGCCAAGGTGGGGCATAACACAGGTCTGCATTTTATGAAAATGCCCTTGTTCCTCTCCCATACCTGATCCCTTCAGATAAAACCAAAGGGGGCAAGGAGGGGCAGAGTGGAGAGGGGCGAGGTCAGTGCTGTGAGATGCCCCCGTTTCATGGCCGTGGAGGGAGAGCCACCCCCGCACACGTGGGGAGGAGGGAATTCCTGTACCTCAGACAGTGCCGGATGGGTGAGAGCCCTGAGTGTCCCTGTTGACCTCCAGATCCTCTTCATAGCAGAGCAGTCCTGGCGGCTGCTGCAATCCGGCAGTTCTGGGTCAGGAGCCGCTTGTGTGTGCTGCCCCTTTGTGTACCATGAAAACAGACCAGGGACGTGGCTGGTCCTGATGTTCCACGGCGCTTGGCACTGTCACTGGCGCTTCCTGGATGAGGCCCTTAAACACACCCAGCAGCAGAGCAAGGCCTGCGTGTCCGTGGCACGCATGTGTGTCCTCTGGCTGCAGCAATCTTGGGTTAGGTTTTTTGTGGCCATCGGGGCAGCAGCTGCTTGGTGACTGTTTCTGTGGTGTTGAACCTCCACGGTATAAAGGTAATCTGCAGCGAGGTGAACAATAAGTCCTGGACGGACAGACCCGTGCACCTTCATGTTATTACATGTTTGAAATCCTGGACGGACAGACCCGTGCACCTTCATGTTACGTGTTTGAAATCCTGGATGGACAGACCCGTGCACCTTCATGTTACGTGTTTGAAATCCTGGATGGACAGACCCGTGCACCTTCATGTTATTACGTGTTTGAAATCCTGGATGGACAGACTCGTGTACCTTCGTGTTACGTGTTTGAAATCCTGGATGGACAGACCCGTGCACCTTCACGGTACATGTTTGAAATCCTGAATGGATAGACCCGTGCACCTTCATGTTATTACATGTTTGAAATCCTGAATGGACAGACCCGTGTACCTTCATGTTACGTGTTTGAAATCCTGGACGGACAGACCTGTGCACCTTCATGTTATTACGTGTTTGAAATCCTGGATGGACAGACCCGTGCACCTTCATGTTACGTGTTTGAAATCCTGGATGGACAGACCCGTGCACCTTCATGTTATTACGTGTTTGAAATCCTGGATGGACAGACTGGCGCACCTTCATGTTATTACGTGTTTGAAATCCTGGATGGACAGACCCGTGCACCTTCATGTTATTACGTGTTTTAAATCCTGGATGGACAGACCCATGCACCTTCATGTTATTACGTGTTTGAAATCCTGGATGGACAGACCCGTGCACCTTCATGTTACGTGTTTGAAATCCTGAATGGACAGACCCGTGCACCTTCACGGTACGTGTTTGAAATCCTGAATGGACAGACCCGTGCACCTTCATGTTATTATATGTTTGAAATCCTGGATGGACAGACCCGTGCACCTTCACGTTATTACGTGTTTGAAATCCTGGATGGACAGACCCGTGTACCTTCATGTTACGTATTTGAAATCCTGAATGGACAGGCCCGTGCACCTTCATGTTACGTGTTTGAAATCCTGGATGGATAGACCCGTGCACCTTCATGTTACGTGTTTGAAATCCTGGATGGACAGACCCGTGCACCTTCATGTTACGTGTTTGAAATCCTGGATGGACAGACCCGTGCACCTTCATGGTACGTGTTTGAAATCCTGAATGGACAGACTCGTGCACCTTCATGTTACGTGTTTGAAATTCTGGATGGACAGACTCGTGTACCTTCATGTTATGTGTTTGAAATCCTGGATGGACAGACCCGTGCACCTTCATGTTATTACATGTTTGAAATCCTGGATGGACAGACCCGTGCACCTTCATGTTATTACGTGTTTGAAATCCTGGATGGACAGACCCGTGTACCTTCATGTTACGTGTTTGAAATCCTGGATGGACAGACCCGTGCACCTTCATGTTACGTGTTTGAAATCCTGGATGGACAGACCCGTGCACCTTCATGTTATTATGTGTTTGAAATCCTGGATGGACAGACTGGCGCACCTTCATGTTATTACGTGTTTGAAATCCTGGATGGACAGACCCGTGCACCTTCATGTTATTACGTGTTTTAAATCCTGGATGGACAGACCCATGCACCTTCATGTTATTACGTGTTTGAAATCCTGGATGGACAGACCCGTGCACCTTCATGTTACGTGTTTGAAATCCTGAATGGACAGACCCGTGCACCTTCACGGTACGTGTTTGAAATCCTGAATGGACAGACCCGTGCACCTTCATGTTATTATATGTTTGAAATCCTGGATGGACAGACCCGTGCACCTTCACGTTATTACGTGTTTGAAATCCTGGATGGACAGACCCGTGTACCTTCATGTTACGTATTTGAAATCCTGGATGGACAGACCCGTGCACCTTCATGTTACGTGTTTGAAATCCTGGATGGATAGACCCGTGCACCTTCATGTTACGTGTTTGAAATCCTGGATGGACAGACCCGTGCACCTTCATGTTACGTGTTTGAAATCCTGGATGGACAGACCCGTGCACCTTCATGGTACATGTTTGAAATCCTGAATGGACAGACTCGTGCACCTTCATGTTACGTGTTTGAAATCCTGGATGGACAGACTCGTGTAGCTTCATGTTATGTGTTTGAAATCCTGGATGGACAGACCCGTGCACCTTCATGTTATTACATGTTTGAAATCCTGGATGGACAGACCCGTGCACCTTCATGTTATTACGTGTTTGAAATCCTGGATGGACAGACCCGTGTACCTTCATGTTACGTGTTTGAAATCCTGGATGGACAGACCCGTGCACCTTCATGTTACGTGTTTGAAATCCTGGATGGACAGACCCGTGCACCTTCATGTTACGTGTTTGAAATCCTGGATGGACAGACCCGTGCACCTTCACGGTACATGTTTGAAATCCTGGATGGACAGACTCGTGCACCTTCATGTTACGTGTTTGAAATCCTGGATGGACAGACCCATGTACCTTCATGTTACGTGTTTGAAATCCTGGATGGACAGACCCGTGCACCTTCATGTTATTACATGTTTGAAATCCTGGACGGACAGACCCGTGCACCTTCATGTTATTACGTGTTTGAAATCCTGGACGGACAGACCCGTGCACCTTCATGTTATTACGTGTTTGAAATCCTGGACGGACAGACCCGTGCACCTTCATGTTATTACGTGTTTGAAATCCTGGATGGACAGACTTGCGCACCTTCATGTTATTACGTGTTTGAAATCCTGGATGGACAGACCCGTGCACCTTCATGTTATTACGTGTTTGAAATCCTGGATGGACAGACTGGCGCACCTTCATGTTATTACGTGTTTGAAATCCTGGATGGACAGACCCGTGCACCTTCATGTTGCGTGTTTGAAATCCTGGACGGACAGACCCGTGCACCTTCATGTTATTACGTGTTTGAAATCCTGGATGGACAGACCCGTGCACCTTCATGTTATTACGTGTTTGAAATCCTGGATGGACAGACCTGTGCACCTTCATGTTGCGTGTTTGAAATCCTGGATGGACAGACCCGTGCACCTTCATGTTATTACGTGTTTGTTGTGGAGAGGAGTGGGTCATGCAGTGTTTCTCTTGTGGGACTGAGTGTGACTATTTAGCTCATCTCTTGCCACCTTTACTTATTGGCAGTGACACTAAAGGTCGTCAGATTAGTGTGAACCACCCTGTGGGGTTGTAGCGGCTCCTGGACTGGTCTCAGATGCCATCCCGGTTGGCGGAAATAAGTCCTGCAGGTGTCCGCTGGAACTGACTCCCAGTGTCTGAGTCCAGAACGTGCGGGTCACAGGTGATGCCACATCTGCATCACCCTGGTGCTCGGACTCCGAGTGACAGCATCCTGAGCAGGCGGTAGCCCAGACACCACCCTGCCTGATACGCCCCCGGTGGTGGAGACATCACCCCAGCCTAGACCTCGTTAAGATGACTCCCCTGCCTTCACTGGAGGTGACTTTACACACTTCTCCAGAACCGCCTCAGCAGCGATGCCCATGGACCGGTGTTCCTAAGGCGCAAATTCGATATTTGAGATTCTGAGATGAGCTGAGCTTGCTGTCCGCTAACCCGCGATCCTGGTGTAATCTCAGTCAGAACCTACAGCCCTGCACCTCTTGCCTGTAAGAAAATCTGTTAGGAGTTAGTAGTGTCTGTGAAGTCTTGATAATTGATAACAAATTTTTTTGTTTCACCAGGAGGCACCTGCCTCCTATCAGCCTCTGGGGAGGCCACCGTCTGCCCAGTGCCTTCTCCTCCCCTGTAGCTTTCCGTCTCATCGCCTTACTCCCTTGACTTGGCTTCACACAGAGCCTCTTCTTTACACATTCTAACTGTTCACTTCGTACCCTCCTGCAGCAGAACTACAGAGCTGCCACCCTGATCATTGTCAAACTCATCCCTTCATCAGCTTTATAACTCCTCAAGGATTTTATCACTGGACCCCCAACATTTCGAAGTGATTTTCTTGAGTAATACCATATGCTGTGATGTGGATGGGATTGGCTTGTCCTCACCAAGTCTCATGTTGAGCTTTGACTCTCAGTGTGGCAGTGCTGGGAGGGGGCCTGGTGGGGGTTTGGGTCATGGAGGCACCCTCCTGAATGGTTGGATACCATTCATTCTTGCTCTCTCAAGCCTGGATTGGTTCGTAGGGGAATGCATTAGTTACCAGGAGCATGGTGGTGATAAAGCCACGCTGTCCCTCAGGTTTGGCTCACTGCCCCTGACCTTCTCTGCCCTGTTTGACACAGCAGATAGTCCTCACCAGAAGTAGGTTGGATGCTAGTGCCATGCTTGTACAGCCTGCAGAACCATGAGCCAAATAAGCCTCTTTCTAAGTTACCCAGTGTCAGATACACAGCAACGCAGACTAAGACACCACGCATGATGGAAAACTGGGTTATGGGCAGGACTGCAAGTACTGCTTGTGCAGATACCTGTATTTCTCCTCCTGACTCCCAGAACGTGTTCTATGCCACTTAGGGCAACTTACGCTCTCCTGTGTGACAATCTCCACTCCTGATGTCTGAGGATTCCTCAGTGTAAGGTAAAACATTAAAGGACCAATTGTATTAATAGTGTTCTATTTTTTTTTTATTAGGATACATTTTCATCCTGGGGTCTTGCTGTGGGGGCTAGACCGACCCTCCCAGGGCTAGATCATTTCTAAAGATGGTAAACAACTTGCTGGGAACACCAGTGCATATGCAACTCAACTCACTGCATATGCAAATCGACACTGCATAGCAAATTGACACTGCATATACAACTCAAGTCGCACTGCATATGCAACGTAACTGGCACTGCATATGCAAATCAGCTCGCACTGCATATGCAAATCAGCTCGCACTGCATATGCAAATCAACTGTTGCAAGTACTTATTTCCAGCCACTTCCTTTTTCTAACTACCACACCAAGCCAATATTTCTCCTCCCTGAAGTCAGCCCAGGATGAGGCACTAGACAGTGGGATATGCTCTGTGCCCTTGGGCCTGCTGGAAGTATGCAGACTACCCAGCCTCAGACTTCATCCTGCCCTGTCCTGCCTTTCCTGTGAAAACCCTGTAGCCTCTGCCTCCCCTGGACCTGACTTCTGCCCCCACGCAGCTCTGCAGCTTCCCTGGGGCCCTGTCTGCAGTGTTTTGTCCCTTCTCTTGACACTGTGAGTGATAAACTTCTTTCCATGTCAGTAACTATATGTGTTCACTCACTCACCTTGACGAGTCCACATCCAGGCCCCACCAGTGGTGTGGTTTTCCTCATAGTCTTTCTACCTAAGCACATGTCCATGACAAGGTCTTACCCAGCCCAGGCATTCTTGAACTATCTGTAAGAGCTGCCGTGTTGACTCCTGGGCAGTTTTATTCTTTCTCTCTACTGGTTCAACCTCATTAGGGAGTGACATTTTTTCCAAAGTGGTTGTGAAACAGCATCTCTTTGGGGTGCTGGTTTGCACTTCTCTTGATTATTGATAGTATGAACATGGTTTTACTTACGCTGGCTATTTTCCTTTTTGGATGAAATACCTGGACTTGTTTTTTCCTGATTTGTTTGGTATTTGTTCTTTTTTAGAAATGGGGAGGCTGTTGTGAGGTGAGATGGGGAGGCTGTTGTGAGGTGAGATGGGGAGGCTGTTGTGAGGTGAGATGGGGAGGCTGTTGTGAGGTGAGATGGGGAGGCTGTTGTGAGGTGTGATGGGGAGGCTGTTGTGAGGTGAAATGGGGAGGCTGTTGTGAGGTGAGTCACCGCTTGTGACTTAGAAGATTGTAGTGGTTTCCACTTGACCTGTTTTCACTTTTGTGATGGTGCCTTAAGGAAAAAGGAAAAAGATTTCGCTGGGCGCGGTGGCTCATGCCTGTAATCCCATCACTTGGGGAGGCCGAGGCGGGTGAATCACGAGGTCAGGAGATGAAGCCCACCCTGGCCAACATGGTGAAACCCCATCTCTACTGAAAATAGAAAAATTAGCTAGATGTGGTGGTGTGTGCCTGTAATCCCAGCTCTTTGGGAGGCTGAGGCAGGAAAATCACTTGAACCCAGGAGGCACAGATTGCAGTGAGCCGAGATCACACACTGCACTCCAGCCTGGCAACAGAGTGAGACTGTCTCAAAAAAAAAAAAAAGGAAAAAGATTTCTTAATTTTGGCATACTCAAATGTATACAACCTTTCCTTTATCTTCATCAGAAATTTCTTTTCCTCTAAGGCCTTGAATGCACTGTACTGTTTTGGTTTCCACAGTTTCTGTGTTTTATGCCAGGTTGCTTAATCCATTTGGAGTTGATTTTTGTTGACGGTATGTGTACAGTTTTAATTTCATTTTCCCCGCTATGGACATAAAATTTTTACAAGGTCTCTGTTTTTTTATTTTATTTTATTTTTAAGATGGAGTCTTGCTCTGTTGCCCAGGCTGGAGTACAGTGGCACGATCTCGGCTCACTGCAAGCTCCGCCTGCTGGGTTCATGCCATTCTCCTGCCTCAGCCTCCCAAGTAGCTGAGACTACAGGTGCCCGCCAACACGCCTGGCTAATTTTTTTGTATTGTTAGTAGAGACGGGGTTTCACCATGTTAGCCAGGATGGTCTCCATCTCCTGACCTCGTGATCAGCCCGCCTCGGTCTTCCAAAGTGCTGGGATTACAGGCGTGAGCCACCGCGCCCGGCCACCTCTGTTTTTTTAATGAAGAAAAGAGATTTATTTGGTTCACAATTCTGAAGGCCGGAAGGTCCCAAAAGCATGGCACCAGCATCCGCTAGGCTCCAGATGGGGGCCTCATGCCGACTTCTGTTTTCACACAACCAGTGGGAAACAGGTGTCCTAACACTAGTAAGAGAGAAAAATCCCAAAGTTTAGTTTTTCCCGTTCACTTGCCCTGGTCTCCAGGCAGTCCTGCAGCAGCAAACACATCATTGGCCTTAGGAGCTGGCCTGTGAGGTTGACCACTCTGTGGGTGGACAAGCCCCGCCCCTAGAAGAGACACGAGCACCTCTGCATAGGCTTTGAGAATGGAATTGACATTGAAAGCACAACCCACACAATGTTCAATAAAACTTGCCTCCTGAACCTAAGTAGGTCACTCACCTGATTAACCAACATCTCCATCACCCATGGGATTTACAGACCCAGAGTGTCATAATGTGAAATTCCAAAGTGTCTAGACTATAATCTGAAATTATTCAGCATAGGTGCAACAGCCTTGGGGAGCAGTGTTACGATACAAAATGGCTAACATTCATGGCCTCAGAATCCTGGAAGGAAAGGAGGAAGTGTGATGTGGTAAAACCACTTGAAAAAATCATGATGAAAAACTTCTCATATTTGGTGTAAGATAAAAACTCTGAAGAGGTTCCATGAGCCCCAGACAGGATAAACCTACAGAAGACCAAGCCCAGACCTACCACATGGAACTGCTGGAAGCTGCAGAGTGAAAGTCTTGGGAGGAGGCTGAGAAAATGGACACAGCGCTTCCCGAAGAACAATTCAATTGACCGGGTTTCTCAGAAGCCATAGAGGCCAACAGGAAATGTAGGACCATTTTTCAAGTTCTGACATAAAAAGAAATGCCCACCCAGATTGCTGTATCCAGCAAAATATCCTTTAGGAATGAAACAGAAATAACGATGATGCAATACAAAGAGTAATTGCCTGAAGAGCTGGTTTAAATAAATGGTTACAGAAAACTTCAGGAAACCTGGAACAAAGGAAAAGCAGTAGAAATGGTAAATATCTGAGTAAATAGATCAGATTATTCTACTCTTGAGTTCTTTATATATGATTGTGAAAAACAAAAGCTATCACATGGGGTTTCAACTGATGTATATTGAATACATAAGACAACTGCAACATTAAGGTGAGGGGCAATGTGGCTGGACGGCATTGAGGTTCCGTGCTCCATTTCAGTGGCAAAATACCGTTCCAGAAAGACTGGAAAAGCTAAGTATGTATATTTTAATTACTAAAGAAGTATATAGCTGGGCATGGTGGCTCACACCTGTAATCCCACCACTTTGGGAGGGTGAGGTGGGTGGATCACTTGAGGTCAGGAGTTCGAGACCCGCTTGGTCAACATGGTGAAACCCCATCTCTACTAAGAAATACAAAAATTAGCTGGGTGTGGTTGGGGGCACCTGTAATCCCAGCTACTCAGGAGGCTGAGGCAGGAGAATCACTTGAACCCGAGAGGTGGAAGTTGCAATCAGTCGAGATCGTGCCACTGCACTCCAGCCTGGGGGACAGAGCAACACTCTGTCTTTAAAAAAAAAAAAAAAAGGCCGGGCGCGGTGGCTCACGCCTGTAATCCCAGCACTTTGGGAGGCCGAGGCGGGCGGATCACAAGATCAGGAGATCGAGACCACGGTGAAACCCCGTCTCTACTAAAAATACAAAAAATTAGCCGGGTGCGGTTGTGGGCGCCTGTAGTCCCAGCTACTCGGGAGGCTGAGGCAGGAGAATGGCGTGAACCCGGGAGGCGGAGCTTGCAGTGAGCCGAGATTGCACCACTGCACTCCAGCCTGGGCTGGGCGACAGAGCGAGACTCCGTCTCAAAAAAAAAAAAAAAAAAAAAGGGTACAATGAGATATACTAAAATAGTCCAACATGTTAATTGAAACATACTACGAAAAGTGTTAAATAGCCTGAAAGAATTGTGATAAAGGGGAAACTGAATACTGGGAACAAAAGAGAAGAAGCAGGTAATGAAGTGGTGGCCGGGCGCAGTGGCTCAGGCCTGTAATCCCAGCACTGTGGGAGGCCCAGCACTGTGGGAGGCCAATCACTTGAGGTCAGGAGTCTGAGACCAGCCTGGCCAACACACTGAAACCCCATCTCTATAAAAATACAAAATTAGTCGGGGGTGATGGTGGGAGCCTGTAATTCGAGCTACGTGGGAGGCTGAGGTAGGAGAATCACTTGAACCGGGAAGATGGAGGTGGCAGTGAGCTGAGATCGCACCACTACACTCCAGTCTGGGTGATAGCAAGACTCTCTCTAAAAAAAAATTAAAAAATAACTGGTAGAGTCGAATCCTATGTAATCAAACACGTTAAATGCACGTGATCAGCCGGGCGTGGTGGCTCACGCCTGTAATCCCAGCACTTTGGAAGGCTGAGGCAGGTGGATCTCTTGAGGTCAGGAGTTCCAGACCAGCCTGGTCAACACGGTGAAACCCTGTCTCTACTAAAAATACAAAAATTAGCCGGGTTTGGTGGCGCACACCTGTAGTCCCAGCTACTCAGGAACCTGAGGCAGGAGAATCACTTGAACCCAGGAGGCAGAGGTTGCAGTGAGCCGAGATCACATCACTGTACTCCAGCCTGCGTCTCAAAAAAAAAAAAAAAAAAAAAAAAAAAGAAGTGGAGAGGCTGTATTTAACATCAGACAAAATGACTTCAGCACAAAGAAAATTACCACAGGGTGTCAAGTGCAGTGACTGATGCCTGTAATCCCAACACTTTGGGAGGTTGAGGTGGCTGGCTCCCTTAAGGCCAGGACTTCAAGACCAGCCTGGGCAACATGGTGAAACCCTGTCTGTACTAAAAATACAGAATTAACCGGGCATGGTGGCAGGTGCCCGTAATCCCAGCTACTTGGGAGGCTGAGGCAGGAGAATCGCCTGAACCCAGGAGGCAGAGGTTGCAGTGAGCTGAGATAGTGCCACTGCAGTCCAGCCTGGGCAACAAGAGCAAAACACCGTCTCATAAATAAATAAACAAAAATTAATAAAAGCAAAATGTGATAAAGACCACAAAAATGAAAAGTTAATTATATTGATTCAAATTAGTTATGTTAAATATTAGCAAACAATACAAAACCACATAAAGTAATAAACCATGGCCAAGTGGAATTTACCCTCAGACTGCACCTGGTTCAGTTATTAGAAAGCCTATGAAGTACTACACCATGTGAATCCACCTAAGAAGATAAGGCATGTGATTTTATCCATAGGTGTGGATGAAGCCTCTGGAAAAATTTAGTAGCTATTATTGATAGAAGCACTGAAAATGGGAATTGGCGAATACTTTCTTAGGACGCCTGTGTCCATGGCTATCTCTCTGTGTGTGTGTGTGTGTGTGTGTGTGTGTGTGTGTGTGTACTGGAAGTGTTACCTAATGCAATTGGGCAAGACAGAATTGCAAAAAAGTGAACTATCTCTTGCATGCATTATATGATACACATGGAAAGCCCCATAGAATCAATCAGTAAAAACATTTAGTAAGTTAGAGGAGGTGAAATTGCTGTCAAAAAATAGGTGGTCTCTTCATCTGCATAACCAACAACCAAACCAGTGAGGTGATAAAATAGTAGAGAAAACGTATTTATAATAGCAATAAAACAATGCTTAGAAATAAACTTACCAAGACATGTATAAAACCTAAATGAGGAGACTTTTTGTTTGTTTGTTTGAGATGGAGTCTCACTCTGTCACCCAGGCTGGAGTGCAGTGGCATGATCTCGGCTCACTGCAACCTCCACTTCCTGGGTTCAAGTGATTCTCCTGCTTCAGCTTCCCAAGTAGCTGGGATTACAGGAACCTGCCACCACACCCGGCTAATTTTTGTATTTTCAGTAGAGACAGGGTTTCACCATGTTGATCAGGCTGGTCTCAAACTCCTGACCTCATGATCTGTCTGCCTCAGCCACCCAAAATGCTGGGCTTACAGGCGTGAGCCACCGTGCCCGGCCATGAGGAAACTTTAAAACACTTTTTTTTTTTTTGAGACAGGGGCTTGCTCTGTTCCACAGGCTGCAGTGCAGTGGTGTGATCACAGCTCACTGCAGCCTCCACCTCCAGGGCTCAAGCGATCCTTCCTCCTCAGCCTCTCAAGTAGCTGAGACTACAGGTGCACACCACCACACCAGGCTAATTAAAAATAAAAAAATTCTAGAGACAGGGTCTCATTTTGTTGTCCAGGCTGGTCTGGAACTGCTGGGCTCAAGCCATCCTCCCGCCTCGGCCTCCCGAAGTGCTGGGATTACAGACTTGATTGAGCCACTGTACCCAGCCTAAGAATACTCTTCAAAGACACACACGGCCGGGCGCAGTGGCTCACGCCTGTAATCCCAGCACTTTGGGAACCCGAGGCGGAGGTGGATCACGAGGTCAGGAGATCGAGACCATCCTGGCTAATACGGTGAAACCCTGTCTCTACTAAAAATGCAAAAACTTAACTGGGCATGGTGGTAGGCACCTGTAGTCCCAGCTGCTCAGGAGGCTGAGGGAGGAGAACGGCATGAACTCAGG